AACACCCTCCCAGGTATCTCCCCAGCCCTACTCTTGACCCTTCTCTCATCTCCACACTTTCCTTCCTCCCGGTATTTTTAAAATTGGCTTCCTATTGGTGGATTTTGCTCCTTGTGAATGGTGCGCTTTGTTCTGGAGCAGAATAATTTGTCATATAGTGTCTATTTCCAAGAGATAGGCTACCCACCATGATCATTTCAGTGCCAACGAGCTTGAAGCCTAACCTAACTCTGTGTAATCAATAAACATTGCTGCAAATGTATTTACTAGCCCATAGGCAGGTTGTTGTAATCATACAATACCCGCTGGAAACAGAACCAATGCCTTGTGGTTATATGTTACCTACATCCTAATTGTATGTCTATGTACTCTGCTTATCCTTGTATGTACAACAAAAAAGAAAAAGTCATGGAGCTGCTGTGATAAAACTGCATGTCTCAAGGGAGAAGATGCAAAAGACCAGCCATGCCCTGCTACCCCCAAGCCTCTTGTTTTGCATAGAGGCAGGCATGGTTAAAGGAGAACTATGAGGTCAATGTTTTTCCCCATAGTTCTCCTTAGGGTAACGGGAGGACACAAACTAGCGTCCTCCCGTTACCCTAAGCTCAGTATACCGCGAGCTGCAGCTCGCGGTATACAATGCCGCAGCGGATCCCAATGTAGATGACGGGATCCGCCCAGCTGCGTAAGTGACAGCTGGCTCTGCCTATCTAGAGGCAGAGCCAGCTGTACCCGCCCCCTCCCCCGTCCGTTCCGCCAGTCAGCGCTGGCAGATCGGAGCGGGGAATCCAGCCCCTCCCCTGCCACAGCAGAGAGCCCTGACAGGATCAGAAGGTGAGCGAACCCTGTATGTGTTCACTCACCTCCCGATCTACTGAGCCGACCTGTGACAGTCTCATTGTCACAGGTCGGCTAGAACTATGAGGTGAGTGGAAATCACTCATCTCATAGTTCTCCTTTAAGCTCCAGTGGGTTTTGTTTTTTTTTTGATGGTGTCTGCATCTCCATTCACACCAGAGCAGAACAGTTTGTTTCCCGGACCAAAAAAGCATCCCAAATGTATCCCCGATATTGCTGGGCTGTTTACACCAGCGCAGTCCGTTCCAATCCAGAAAAAATAATGCTCATCTCATTATCTCTGATCTGGAATGCACCTGAAAGCCCATTTTAAGCTAAAAAAATATGCCGAAATGCACCGCATTTACAGATCTGCTCCAGCCATGCATTCACACCTAGGCGACAGCGTTTTTGCCACACATACATTAGGTCATGCATTTTAGTGGGCAGATTGTGAGATTATTGTCACACATTTCCTATTAAGTCTATGGGGACAAAACACACTGCAATTTTCCAAAAAGCTCGTTTTGTTTTTTCCAGTGACAGGCGTTTTCCAGCTTGTGACAAAATGCTCAGGTGTGACCGGGGCCTTACTTCCTATCCCACTGATAAGCACAAACACAGCATTGGTTTAATAGCGAGTGGAAGGATTATAATTTTTTTTTCTTGTTTCTTCCTGTTCTATTGACAACTCATCTCATTTCTTTTGTTGGTGTCACCTGGTTAGAAAGGGAAAGGCAATCTACCCAATAAAAATCTGCCATACAGGAAGTAATGTCTCTGACCCACACCGCCTAAAATTATATTAAAAGGATTTTGAGCTGATATATTTAGGGGGTTATTTACTAAAGAGCTGAATCAAAGGGCTGCTGTACAGCAGCCAAAGCAAACAGCTGAACGAACATGCTTCAGTTCAGCAAAGCTGAAGCACCGGTCTTAGAAAAAGATGTGGGAGAAGAACCCAGTGTGGGGCTTACCCTCCCCAAATCATGAGATGCTTTAAGGCTGGTAGGAATTTTAGGGCAAAAAAAAAAATTGCTCCCCACTAAAATCTCAGACCCTTAATACAAGCAATAACCTGGCAGAGCAGAAAAGTAGCACCCCCCAGCAGGCTACATGCCATTGAGATTGGGAGGGTACTTTAACAGAGGTACCTCTTGGAAAAGCACCATGTCCCCTATAATCAATGAGGACAAGGGGCTTGGTGGTTATGGGGGAGGCTTATATGCATCTGGGTGCCCCCCTTTCATAAAGGGGCACCCACAACCTGCCCCCCACCCCTTGTGAAGGAGAAAGGGGTAGATACCCCAACTCTTTTCATCAAATAAAGAAACTTTATCATTCTGAAAAGGTATCTTTGAATAAAAACAGAAGACAGTTTTTGACAATTCTTTTATTAGTGCTCATTGGCTGCTGGCTCTGATCATGTGAAGATTTTCCAACCAGCTCCTTCTGACCAAAAACCAGCCAAGATTCACACAGTGTATGAGCACCCCCAAATCACCGATCTCTGCCGGAAGATGATCAGGAACTCAGTGATTAGCCTTCTGTAATCACTGAGTTCTCAATAAATAGAGCAGATCTGCGCCAGCATCAGGGTCACCCGTCTGCTCCAATTATGGGGATGAGGGTATTTCATTTAGTAGTTAATCAGCCCTTATAAAAGAAGGCAATTCCTAGTAGCTCATTCATAGAACAGCCAGCTGTAAACTACCATAGTGAAAACATGCTACACTAGTACATAGCAATTAATCTCACATGACCACAATGCTGCCAATGTGTGCTTCCTACCATGTCTACTCCTGTAGCTCACATCATAGGAAGTCTTAATTATTTCACTCAGCAAGTCATCACTATAGATTTTAGTAGCATCCTTGACATTAGCTACTAACAAACCTCTGCTTTTGACCCAAGAAACACAGGCGAGTCTAGAATCTAATCAAACCCCATTACTTTTCAATTCTTCCATTTAGCAGATGCAGCACATCAGATAAAATAAAAATGTAATTAAGCTTGTAACATTTGACAGTTGATGGATTTGGGCCTGTTAGTATGCATTCTAAAAGTGACTTGTCTGTAGGCGTTACATTTAAAGTAACAAAATAAAAACTGGTCATTTACCTTGATGCATTCTCTGCATTAGGATAAAACACTCCCAGTACCTTTCCGTCCCTCATCCACCCTAAACTTACCCGTAAACACCACTGTCACCATCGCCTGTCCCTGGAGCTGTCTTCAGGTCGCCGAACTTCCTGGTTGTAGGGGAGCCATAGGCTCCTTCTGCCGTCAAGGTAGAACTGGAGTGTGGGCAGCCACAAGCTGCATGTCTTGACACACAAGTACCTCCATAACAGCCAGCTAGGAGGCACCCGTACAAGGGCAGAGCAATGTGGGGAACCACCATAGAACAAGGAACTGAACATTTTTAAAACCAAACTAACGCAGGATCTGTATAATTGTGGGCCTACAATTCATAAAATCCCTGAAGGTTTAATATCACCAAGTCCCATCTTTGAAAGGAAAAATAGATCGGGTTGAAAAGTAAAACCCTTTATACATTCAAAATAAAAGGTGATCAAACTTAAATGCACCAGACCAAAACTGTCAATTTAGCATTTAATTTGCTACCCAGGTTTGCATTGCATTTTATTGAAGCAGATCTCGTGCGGAAAAGAACAATTTGGAACAGGTCACTTTTGACATTCTTGCCCGTCCAGTATTATCCTCCATCTTGCAAAGGAGGAAAAAAAAACCAGAAGTTACTGGACTCATGTTTGTCTGTGGAGAGTCTACTAATCTGCCAAATTAGAACAGCTTACATCCCAGCTTCCCCTAGACTATCCCTGGGCTTCCCGTCAGATCCACCTAAACGTGGACCTGACTGAATGCCCATGTGAATGGACTCAGCAGATTAAGGAATTACTAAAGCTGCAACCTTAGGTTTTACTAACCCCATTTAGTATTGCTTTGCCATGCAACATTAATAAATGTCCCCCAATGTTCTTACCAGCCTGACCAGATCCATTCTTGTGAAATTAACCAATAGAAAAACCAATGGGGTTATAAAGACAGCCAGCAACCCCCC